GGACAGGCTCTGATGCAGGTGATGAAAGGTGACCTGAAGGGCTTATTTACCCTTTGGGGATTCATCCAGGCTAATCTGTCTAGTTTTGCCTTAAACTATGTTAAATACCCCATTTCTAGTACCTAGTTACCATGTGTGCAAAGTGTTTCTTGCCCATTTCTTTCTCCAAAGCAAGTGTGGCAGACTAGAGTAGCCCACCTCCAAGTCCCACAAATGGGGAGTGGCTTTAAAGTGCAGGCAATTCCATACCTTGCAGCTTAAGAGGGAGACAGCTTTAATAACTGGGCACCAGGCACCACAGGCCACAGTGGTTTGAGAAGGCTTCCCTAGGAAACTGTTGGCAGGTAAATCTCTACAAAGGTTAATTCTCCCATGAATGTCAGGTTGTAAATAAATCAACACTTATCCGTTTATCTGTGGACAGACTCCAGCACAGCCTGTATTGTTAAGCCCCCTTTTCTTGCCAAGGGCCTGCCTTCATTGCAGACACACACTGCAGACGCCAAATTTCTTTAAAAATAATTTATTCATTTGCTGATCACAAGGTACAGGAACGTGCAAGTGCAATGCCTGGGACTCCGTGGCTGGCTGTCCCTGTCTGTCCATCTGTAAATTCCCTTGTACAGCGCCAGGTTCATCCTGCCCCCAAGCGTCTGCTACATCCTGCCAGCTACAGAGTATAGTATTTGACCATGTGGGAAGTTTAGACTTGAGTTTTCCAGGTTACTTGTAAATACTTAAAGGGAACTAGCTGTTCCAGCTGTTGACTTCCTAAAACTCTGAGTAGGTCACAAGCAAATTATACCAAACAGCTTAGAGCCATTTAAACTTTTAAAAAGGCCTTTTTCTTAAATAGCAGTGACTAAGACCCCTTCAGTGTCCCCAGCCTTCTAAGGCCCAGGGTGCCTGTGACCCCAGAACAACAGCCCCTGGGGATCTCCCACATCCCAGGGCGGCGATGGAGGAAGGGCAGGCCAGGCCAAGCATAAGGAATTAACAGTCAATTTTATTGGGCTCAGACGAGGAGTCCATGGGTCTTGAGGACCTCTGTGTATCTGTCAATTTTCTTCTCCACATTCTTTTCAGCCTGTTTCCGCAGCCTCTGTGGGGATAGGACACTGTGGTCAGTGGCTGCTGCCTGGGACTACTCCCATCCCAGGAACCCAAACCCCATGGTGAAGGCCAGCCTAGGCCTTAAACAAAGCCCTGAGGGCAAGCAAGCCCCCTGCCCTCACCGTGAGCTGCTTTTTCTTCCGGTAATGGATCTTGGCCTTCTCCTTCCTCTTCTCCTCCAGAGTGGCTGTGACGGCCTGGTACTTCCAGCCAACCTCATGAGCCAGGCGCCCGAGATAGGCAAACTGGGGTAGGGGGAGAGAAGTGAAGTTGTAAAGAACTGGGAGTCTGAATTGGGGAGAGGGTAGCCATGGGAGGGGCTAATGACCTTTCTCAAAGGATCCTGGAAACTTAACCCAACTTCCCCTCCCAATCAGAAGACACAACCACAGGTCTAAGGAGCTCGCTGCTACTCCTGGCATCAGCTAAGCCATTGGCATTTTCGGCACCGCCCAGTGGCATCCGCAGACCATCGTGAGAAAAAGCCATCATCTGCCAGTCTTGGGGGACCTAAAGTTCAGCCCCAGTGAGATCCCCATTTGACATAACCTGGAACTCACCTTCCGTGTAGGCTTCAGGCGCACAACCTTGAGGGCTGCAGGAACCACCATTCGCTTTTTCTGTTAGAGAAGGAGAGGGGCTTAGGGACCTGGAGTGAGGGACAGAGGGAAGAAAGCTGGCTGGGGTGGGTGTCTCAGCCAGTGCTGTTCTCATGAGGTTCAAACAATGTAGGTAACAGTGGATCATCACAGACACTTCCAGACATGTGGATGCCGTGGAGGGGACCTGGTCTCCCTTACCTTGTCATAGGGTGGAGGGATACCATCAAACACCTTGAGGCGGTCCAAGGCAGCCTGGCCTCGCTTGGTCTTGTGGGGCAGCATGCCTGTTGGGCAGAGGGACAGCAACCATGCTCAGAAGGGCTCCAGAAGAACCCCACAAAAACAGGGAGACAGGTGGCCTCAGATGGTAGTGCATGTGGAGTCATCTCATGGTTGGGAAACTCGAACTTGAGTGGGAGAAGTCCTCATCACTGGCCACCCACCTGGTCACCATCTGCAGCACCCAGGCCCAACTCACCTCGCACAGTCCGCCAGAAGATGCGGCTGGGGGCTCGGAAGTGGTAAGGGCCGCGGGATGGGTTGGTGTTCATCCGCTTGCGGAGGAAGGCTAGGTACTTCACTGGTGAGAGAGGAGAGCATGAGACCTTATAGTCCCCAGCCAAACGCTAGCTTCTTCCAACACACACCCACACTCCCAAGGGCCTATTCCAGAACTCAAACTAGCACCTCCAACCACAGGTGGGACCCCTTTCAGAGTCTATGGAGTCTGAGCACCTCACACATGTCAACGTCTCTAGCCCTTCTCCCCTGCCATAACTTACGCTTATTTCTGTAGAAATTGCCAGAAATGTTGATGCCCTCACAGCGCACAACCACCACCTTCCGGCCTAGAGGGAAAGGAAAAGTGAGGCAATCACGGGAGGCCCAGGTCAAGAAGTCACCCACTTGTCAAATTACTGAGGAATTGTAAAGGGAGGTCCTCCCAGGTAAGGAACTGACCACCAGGCCTAGAAAGCCAAGGGTCCCGCAGGGGAGCCTCTTACCCCAAGTAACAGAGCAGTAACTGGAAGAGCTGGATTCATGCTTAAACGAAGTATTAGCCCAACAACAAAAAATTAACCCCAGAGCCCACCCCAGGGGAGGGAGTGGCTGGCAGGTCTCAGAGCGGTGCATGGGGTTGATCTCATGGTCGTGAGACTCAAACGAAAGATGGTGATTGCTGCTCATCACTGACCTTCAGTCACAGCTCAGTGTGTGTGTGTGTGAGGGGGGGAGGCCCTGTAGGCAGACTTACCCAGCAGTACCTGTTTGGCCACGATGGCCGCCAGGCGGCCTAGGAGATGGCCTCGGCCATCGAGGATCAGGACCTGCTAAAGATAGAATGAGGGCTTAGAGTAACCCAGAACTTTCCCCATTTCCCACCCCAAACAACCATTGCTTTCTAATTGTTTCCGGTGCACCTTATCCCCCAGGATGCCTCCTATCCAGGTACCAGACCTAGGAACTAGGACCCAAGGCTCACTTTACAGACGAGGCCAAAAAAGCAACTGGTTGACTCGTGATTTCAATGAACGGGATAAGAACTCCTCTCACATCTCGGCTGCTTGAAGGGAAGGAATTTTTATGCCCAGATTATAGCTTCTTCATCAAGAGTAAAAGTCCCCACTCTTAGCGAGTGCTGGTTATATACGTTGTGATTGTTGGAAGGCAGAAAGGTACAGAATCTAAAGCCAGACTTCCTGACAATGTGACTTTGGGCAAAGATCTGCAGTTCTCCATGCTTCAACTTCCTCACCTGGAAGATGAGGATAACAATATCTGCCTCAGAAACACTGTGATCATTTCCCAATTACAGAAAACACAATGCAAACTGGGCCAGGCACACAGTAAACGCGGGGACATGATCCGAGACCTCTAGCACTTGCCTGGCCCCCAACTTGATTTTTCTTCCTTAACTAGAAAGCCACCACATGAAGTCCACAAGGACCCCCTAATTCCAGAGTCTCCCCCCTCCCTCAAACAGAAGTTACACAAAGAGCCAGGGTGCTCAGGGGTGAGCTGCTGCTGCCTTCACTGAAGGCCAAGCGCTTAAGGGCCAAGGATGTCCAGGGCTGTGGAGCATTTAATTCCAGTCTCTGCTTTCAGCAACAGTACTTTAAAGCCCACCAAAAACAGAGGAAAAACCAATTCGCTCGTGAAATCCCCATAAGGAAGAACTCCGTGAAAGATTTCCGGGGAAGCCTGATCAGCACCCCACGGGTGGGGGTAAAGCACGGCCGTCTGGGAAGAGTGAAAGGACCCTCCATTTTGGCCAATCCTCGGCTTCTCAGCCCTCTCCCACGTGCTTCCCCATCGCCGGGAAAGACACGGGTCCAATTCAGCCAAGTACCAGCCCAGACCAAGGTAAACAAGAGCTAGTTTTTAAAATAGCTCTTCTTGGGCGGAAAGTCTCCATCGTCCCCCTCGGGGAGGAACGATGCCGCATTTACCCGGTTCTGGGACAAAGACAGTATCTGTATTTCCCCTTTACAGAGCCTTCTCGACCTTTTTGCTCTCCGTTTTGCTCAATTATGGAGCTAAAGTTTTACTACACACATAGATAAGGGAAAAGGATCCAATCCCGTTCCAGCCTGGCTCCCACCCAGACCCTCGCCGCCCTGGCCCACGCGGAGCCCGCACCTGCCCCTCCGCCATCTTCGGCAGCCGCCTGGGAAAGAAGGACGTCTTGGCGCAGGGTTTCTTATCCCTTGCTACAGGGGGCGGAGGAAGTGATGCTACGCGGGATACGGGGCAGCTTTCTGTCATTTCATTGGTCAGTGTCGTGCGCGTGCGTATGGGAGTCCTTTAGAAGGCGGGTTGTCTTCTGATCGTCCAATCCGGGAACCGTTCCCAGAGGACGTCGGCGGCCATGATTGTGCGGGGCGATAGATCACGTGGGCTGGGCGGGGGCTCTGCTGGGGCGGGGCTGTCCGTCCTCGGCCGCCATGTTTTTGAGGGATTGCTAACCTCTCTTGCGCACAGAGCCCAACGTGGGGGGAAGCGCCGTTTCCCCTCGAGCGACCGCAGACGGCAGGCACGTGGTGGCCCGTCCGCGGTATCGGACGCCTCCTAAGGGTTCCTGTAGTGCTGCCCCCGTTAGAGGGCATATCAGCCTGCACTGAGGCTGCCTGTGTCTCCCCCATTCCTGGTTGTGACTCTGCGGGGCCCAGGAAGCCTCAGAAAACAGGCATCGAATGAAAAATTGCACTCACTGAAAAACCAAGACTCCAACCCAAATCCGCCCACCAACAGACAGGCCTGACCAGAGCTGGTAGAAAAGGATGTTTATGTACAATTTCCTGGGCACGAGGGCTTTGCACAGAGCGGGGCCGGCGGGGCCGCAGCCAGTGCCGAGGGCTGGCATTGCCTCCCTCCCGGGGACAAAGTGACAGCGCCGGTGCCGCAGAGGAAGGGACCGGTCTCTAGCTGACTTCCTCCGAGTCCCGGCTCCGTGTCCTCAGGCAGGTGACTCCTCTCTCTGGGCCTCAGTGTCCTCTGTAAAATGGGGCGACAGATGCGTCTGTCTCACCGGGCTGTGAGAGGAGCCGTGGGCAGAGGAGGGGAGGCCGCAGGCTCCGGCCCTTCGCAGACTCGCCGCTGGAAACAGCTCCCGGCCCAGCCCGCGCCCGGGTGCTGGGGCCTCGCTGCCCCGGAGGCTCCTCGGCAGCGGTGGACACGCCGTAGGTCAGATCGGCGCCCTGGGCGGGGAGCCAAGGTCCCAGCCGAGTGAACGGCGAGCCGGTGCACCTGAGTTTTACATTTTACCTAAATTGAACTTAACAGTGTGGTTATTGGGAGAGTGGTAACAGGTGGGCAGAGACCAGTCGGAAAGAAAACGACTCGATGTCTATTACTTCTCAAGAAAAATTGTAATAAAGGACTGTTGGGAAAACGAATGCCGAAATGAAGTCATTACACTTAGAAACTGCCCTGGCCGGGTGGCTCAGGTGGTTGGAGGGTCATCCCGTGCACCAGTCAGGGCACATGCCTAGGCTGCAGGTCCCACCCCCGGTCGGGCGAGTCCAGGAGGTGGCTGATCTCACAGGAGGTCTCCCCCTCCCCCCCCCTTTCTCTCGCTCTAAGATGAATGAAAACATATCCTTGGGTGAGGATTAAAAAAATAATAAATTTAAAAAATGACCTTCGATTCAGTTACTGGAAAACTATGTTTCAAACAGCTTCAGCAGGTGAATCTACTTTTGCTGCTGCTCATTTCATGAAATCTAAGTACAGATCAGGTATTTGGATTAAAATGTGGCATCTGAATTGAGATGTGCTGCGAAGGCAACATATCCACTGGGTTCTGCAGACTTGGTATGAAGAAAGGATGTAAAGTATACCGTTAATATACCGCTAATAGATTTTAAAAATATTGATTACATGTTGAAATAACATTTTGGATACACAGGGTGAAATAAAATATTTAAAGTAAACCATTTCTCCTTTTTAAAATATGGCTATTGGAAAACTTAAAATCCTGTGTGGCTTGTGTTCTATTTCCATTGAACAGTGTTGCTCTAAGGGCTTTGCATGTGTCACTTCTCTTTTCCTCTGGACAACTCTATGGTAGAAGGACTTTTATTAGTCTTTTGGAAGATAAGGAAACTGTAGCAGAAGAGTGACAGGCACAGAAGCCAGAGCCAGATGCCCCAGAGTCAAATCTTGGCGGTGCCACTCACAAGCTGTGTGACTTTTGGGAGATTATTTACCTCTCTGTGCCTTGGTTTCAGCCTCTGTGAAATAATGGTACCAGCTTCTCAATTAAGTGAGTGAATTTGTGGGATACCTCAGCACAAGGCCTATGTCACTGAGGCACTATATGTGCAAGTGATTACTGAGAAATGTTTCTAGGTAGGTCCCTCTGGGCCCATCAGGAACCCCCTGGAGCCAGGCTCCTTCCTCTCTCCCAACCCTTCCTCCCTCTCAACTCCCTTTCTTGGCATTTGAGGCCTAGGTTTTCCTGTCAAGTTTCTCAAACCCCCTCCCACACTGGCCCCAAGCTAGCCAGTCACTGGAACATCTTGAGCTTTTTCACACCTGGAGGGTGGCCCCCACCCTGTGCTCCAGGAGGCCACTCTCCCCTGGCTTCCAGACTCCTGCATCCAAACATCTCCCTGGGGGCTCCCCAAGCCCACAGGTCTCCTCTGGGCTCACTGTCTTTCCTTAATCTCCCTCTTCCCCCAGGCTCCTCAGTCACTGGGCTGGACCCAGGGTCGTCTGTGCCACCCCCAAGCCTTTCAGGCTCCAGCCCTGTTCCTCCTGACCTCTGACTCTGCCCCTGCCTTTTCTCCAATCCCATAGTCCCTGCCTGGCTCAGCCCTTGTCCTCTCTCCCAGCCTCACCCAGCCTCCTCTTTGGACTCCAGTCTCTCTCTTCCAGTCTGTCCCCATCATGGCACCAGAGGGGACTTCCTGCACCCAGAGCTGACCCACCCCTCCCCTGCTCCCAGCCTTCCACACACGAAAAGTCCAGGGTCCTCAGTTTGGTGAAGACTCACTAAGATGAGTCAGTGCTCCTGGGGCCTGGAGGTGAGGCCACCCCTCAGCCCTCCCCAGCCCCTCTGCCCACCCTCTGGCTCACCTGCTCCCCAGGGCAGGGCATCCTCCGCCTACTCCTTCTCCAGTTCAGGCACCAGGCAGCCGCCAGCAGCATGAGCAGTATAAGGGCCCCGGGCAGCAGCAGGAGCAGCAGGGAGCCCCGAGAGGCAGGGAGGGCTGTGGCCCCCAAGGCCAGGGAACTCATCGAGGGCAGCGGGGTGGAGGAGCCTGAGGGGGGAGAGGAGCCTGGGTGACCAAGGAGAAGGGTCAGGCCAGGGAAAGGCCTGCCTGGTGCTGGCTGTGTGACCTCAGGTGGGCTGCTGGCCTCTCTGTGCCTGTCTCCTGATCTATAAAATGGGCACAATCATTATACCTACACCCTAAGGTTGTCACAAAAATTAAATGAGTGTATGTACAGAAAGAGCTTGGGACAGTGTCTGGCACACAGGAAGGTCACATGTTTTATAGCCGAACAAATGTTTATGTTTATTTGTGTTTTCCTCTTCTTCCCCTGATAGCCTGTGAGCTGCAAGTGGTGACAGGACTCTTATGTCTTATCTATCCCCAGAACCAACTACTAGTGCTCATTAAATAATACTATAATAATTTAATTTACAGAAGTTTCATACTGGAATGAACAAATAGATAATAAACAATGAAAGATACAATGTGAAGCTCTGACGGCTCTCAAGGCTCCGCACCATCTGGTCCGCTTCCTTCCCTCTGTACCCTCAACTCCCACTCTCTGCCCCTCGCTGGCTCCAGCCACAGAGGCCTCTGTATGCAGGTTTCTGCCTCAGGGCCTTTGCACTGGCTGTTCCCGTGTTCCCAACTTTCAGTGACTTTCCAACCAACCACTTTAGACCATGATTCCTGTTTTAATTGCCTGCATAGAGCTCCTTCCATGCAGATATTCTCCTGTTTATTTGATTGTTTGCATATTTATTGTCTGTCTCCTGGTCAGGGTGCCCCTCCACATATGCATGGACTTGGGGTCTTGTCTAGGTTGTGTGTCCAGTGCCAGGCACCCAGGAGATGGTTAGTAAGACATGGTTGAGTAAATGAATAGTTATAAATGTAAATACAAATGACAAAGCTCAATATGAGTGAGAAAGATTGGAAATGTGGGGAGAAATTGAGAAAAACGTACCTAGAGTAAGAGTTTTGTTAAGTACTGCTTTCAGAACTTGACAGATCTAGTGGACAAAGTTTACAAGGACAGAGAGACTGGATAACATTGATAAGGTTGACAATATAAAAATCCTGAACAAGAGTGAATTTACCTTTTTAAAACGGCTATTAGAAAGTATACGCTAAAAGAAAAGAAAAAAGAGCCCTGTCCCGTGGCTCAGTGGTTGAGCTGTCCCTGTGCACAAGGAGGTCGATGGTTCGATTCTAGGTCAGGGCACATGCCTGGGTTGCTGGCTTGATCCCCAGTAGGGGGCGTTCAGGAGGCAGCTGATCAATCACTCTCTCATCACTGATGTTTCTCTCTCTCTTTCCCTCTCTGAAATCAATTTTAAAAAAAAGAGACATCTTTTAAAAAAAAAGAAAGTACACACTTAAACAAGTGGCTCTCCACACATTGTACTTCTATGGCACAGGGCTGCCTTACAGAAACTGGCAGGGATTGTCATCCCTTCTCAGAGATGGGTAAACTGAGGACCAGAGAGGGGAATGAACTTGGGGGAACACGCCCAAAGTCACGCAGCCCATGGGAGTCGGTGGGGTCTGAGATGCCCTGTGCAGACGGGTGCGGGGCTGTGAGGGTGGAAGAGGAGGGGCCTGGGAGGGCTGGGAGCCTTTACCCGGCTGGCACTGCAGCTCCAGGCACCCAGAGAAATTCCAGCGGGTGATCCAGGGTTTCAAGGACACCAGCTGCTCGGAGATGTCCTGCAGGAGGTGGGAGATGTTGGTCTGGACGAAGCGAAGACAGCTAGGGAGGGGCTGGGGGCAGGGGAGGGAGACGTCACCACCATATCACCCCCTGCATCTCCTCAGGCCAAGGGCCTTCCCTGCCCAGCAATGCCCAGCAACCGGCCCTGCAAGGCCTGGGTGTCAGAGGGAGAGTTTGGACCCCTGCTCCCCCTGGTTGCTAGGGGGAAGCATCCTTAGCAACACCCAGCAACAGGGCCCAAGGAGGTCTGGGTCCAGGGGGCATTTAGATGCCCTCCTCCTGGTTGCTAGGGGAGAGAACCCCTTAACAACACCCTGCAACAGGGCCTAGTAAACTCCACGTTGGTGCTCTGGGCCCAGACCCCTCACCACCCTCCAGTGCTTGGAGGAACGTAATTCCCCAGTAACCCGCCCCAGCGAGACTGGGGTTCCAGCTCCACCTCCCTGGAGTTGCTCCAGAAAAGAAATCTCCAGTAAGGCCGAGTTGAGCTTCGTTTCCCATTTCCTAGGAAGGCATCTTGCTCCCTTCACTTGTCCCCAAGTTCAGGGCTGACCTGGAGGGCACATAAGGTGACAAAGTGTATCTCGGTGTCCACTGCCTCCAGCAGCTTTTCCATCTGGGACCCAGCCACAGTCTTGAGCTGCTCCATCCAGCGCTGGGCCAGGACGAGGCGCCAGAAGGCCCCGCAGAGCTTGTCCTGGGGAGAGACAACCAAGCTCTGGGTTCGAGGGCAGAAGGGCTGGGGCTCTGGACTCCTGGGTCTGAGAGGAGAGGGGCTGGGGGCCTGGGCACCTGAGTCTGTGGGAGGAGGGGCTGGGGGCAGGGGCTCCAGGGTCGCAGGGCAGGAAGGGTAGGGTCGGCAGAGTAGCCCCGTCGGGTGAGGAGTCGCTTTCCCACCCGCACCCCAGGCCCCTCCCATCTGTGACTCACGTCCTGCAAGTTGGAGGCGACAGTGACAGGGTAATCCTGAAGCAGGTAGTCAGACTGCGGGAGAAAACAGGTTCAGCTGGGCTGAAGGCGGGAGGAGAGACCCTGGGAGAGGGGGACAGGGAGCCACAGAGACAGAGACCCAGACGGGAACTCGGGCTCAGGGCCGGCCTGAGCCTCCGAGGGGCAGCAGAAGAGGTGGGGCGGGCGCTCACCAGCTTGCCGATGGCGTCTCGGAAAGTGGAGGAGATGGGGCTGTGGCGGAAGGAGCAGTCGGGGGTCCCACAGAGACCCGGGCTCAGCAGCAGCAGCAGCAGGGAGATCTGTGGGGAACGGGACCTGTCGGGCTCCGCACCCCTCCCTAGGCTCTTCCCTTCTCCTTTCCCAGGGCTCAGTCCACTTCAGTTCCCGGCAGCGCCTCAATCTGGCCCACGGGTGCCCACCTCTGACCCTTTGTCCCTGTTTTTCTTTCCGTTTCTGTCCTATGCTGTCCAGGTTTCAGTCCCCTTTGCCCCAGCCCCCCAGCTTTGCCCAGTGACCTCCGTCTCTGCTCCCTCTGCCCACCTCTTCTCTGTCCACCTCTCTGCCCCTTTGCTCATCTCTCCCACTTCTCCTTCCATTAGGTCCCCTCTGCCCCATTTGTACCCACCTCCCTGTTTCCTCCCCTCACCCCGTCCATCTTCCACAGCTGTCCATCTCCCTGCACCCCATCCATCTCCCCTACTTCTGCCCAGCCCCCTCCAGCCCTGCCCATCTCCCTGCACCCCTGTCCATCTCCCTGCACCCCTGTCCATCTCCCTGCACCTCTGTCCATCTCCCTGCACCCCTGTCCATCTCCCTGTACCCCTGTCCATCTCCCTGCACCCCTGTCCATCTCCCTGTACCCCTGTCCATCTCCCTGCACCCCTGCCCATCTCCCTTCACCCCTGCCCATCTCCCTGCACCCCTGCCCATCCCCCTGCCACTGCCCATCTCCCTGCACCCCTGCCCATCTCCCTGCACCCCTGCCCATCCCCCTGCCACTGTCCATCTCCCCTACTTCTGTCCATCCGCCTCCACCCCTGCCCGTCTCCTTCCACCTCACTGCACCTCCCCACCTGCCTGCCCATCATGACACTGCCCTCTTCCCCCGCCTTGTCGCCCAGTTATACGCACAGTTGGGCTCCAGGCTGGTGCCAACACTCTCATCTCCACCGGAGGCCCCTCATGCCTGTGGCCAGATCTTGGCAGGGACAGAAGAGCAGGTCTTGTGCTGACACGCCCCAGCCCGCTCCTCGCCCACCCCTTCACCTCCCCGCCCCTCCCCGGGCCCTCTGATGTGGCTGAGTTTCCGCCTCCTTCTCCCTCGGGTTTCCTGCACGCGCCCCAGTTACGATGAAAACTCCTCATCTCCCCTTCTAAGAACCCCGACGTCCGATCCCCGGAACCCTCCCCAGGCAGGGGCCCAGGAACCTGACCCCCACTCCTCCTCCCTCAGCCCCAGGAGGGGCACCCCAGCCCCGCCCCTCGGGGACCCAGAGCCCATTTCTCCTCCCGCACCAGGCAGGCCCCAGCTGGACATGGAAGGGGCCACGCCGGGTGACAGCCAGAGATCGAAAGTGAAAGAAAATTTTGGAGGGGGACAGGGAGTTGGGGTGGATCTGAGGCCAGGAGCGCCACCTGGTGGTGACAGGTGGCAGCTCAGCCGCGAGGGCGCTGGCCCAGGAGGGCTGAGGTGGGGTCAGTGGTCAGTTCTCCCTGGCAGGAAAGACGGAGTGAGGAGCTGGGGCAGGAACCCCGATCTGTCGCCACATAGCAGCAATGCACACAGGGCGAGGAGGAGGTCGCCCTGAGCTCTTCATCTCCTCCTTGAATTTTAGCACCCCCCCACCAGATGCTGAGGCCCAAAGCCTCGGTGTGGACTTTTGACTCTTGGCTTCTCACTGCCCACGTAGTCCAGTCCCTCAGCAACTTTGTTGGCTGTCACAATGTATCCAGAGTCCGTGCAATCACGTCTCAGCACCCCCGTGGCCATCACCTGGGATCTGCTACCGTCTCCTACCTGAATACCACTGTGGCCTCCTCTCCTGGCCCCAGCCCTCACCACCCCCAAACCCCCACTGTTTGTTCCTCATATGCAGCCAGAGTTGCCTCCTGCCATTCAAATGGAAAGGCTAGGTCCTCACTGTGACACACACACACCTGTAAGATCTAGCCCGGTTCCCTCTCTGCCTTGGCCTCCTCCCTGTGCCTGGGACAAGCACACTCCTGCCCCAGGGCCTTTGCACTGGCAGATCCCTCAGTCTGAATGTCCTCCCCCCAGATACCCGCATGGGTCATCCTCCATCTCATTCAGGCAAAGCCTTCCCTGATCACCCTTTTTCAAATTGTATCCCTGCTTTGCTCTTTCCCTTGTCACTCATCACCATCTGACATTGGGACGGCGGCTCCAGGACTCTGCTGGGTCTCCAGCACCTAGGACTGTACTTGAATCAGAGCAGGTGCTTAATATTTGTTAAATAAATGAACAAGAACAAATGGATCCTGGCCTCTTTTCTTCATTATTGTTATATAAAAGAGAAGGTATCTGGCCTGGCCAGCAGGGCTGTGGCTGAGCATTCACCCGTGAACCAGGAGATCACGGCTGATTCCCAGTCAGGGCACATGCCTGGGATGTTGGCTCCATCCCCAATAGGGGGCGTGCAGGAGGCAGCTGATCAATGACTCTCATCATTGATGTTTCTCTTTCTCTCCCTCTCCCTTCCACTCTCTTTGAAATCAATAAAAAATATATATTTTAAAAAAAGAAAAAGAGAGAAGGCATCTGGCCCTGGCCCTGGCCAGGTAGCTCAGTTGGTTAGAACGTGGTCCTGACACGTCAAGGTTGTGGGTTCAATCCCCAGTCAGGGCGCATACAAGAATCAACCAATGAATGCATAAATAAGTAGGACAACAAATCAATGGTTTTTTCCTCTCTCTCCCCCCTCTCTCTAAAATTAAAAAGAGAAGGCATCTGGTCTTTCTGTTTCCTGGGAGACAACCTCTAAGGCCTCGGGAATCTCCCAGAGAAGTGATAGGAGTGTTACTCATGGGGGCCCCCTGCCCCCACCTGAGCTTATGCTAATGAATGACGGGAGGTGGGGGCCAATCACAGATGAGAGGGTTGGGGCTTTGAGAGCAGGGTATCAGCCTAACTTGCCAACCTCCCACCTCCAACCTGAGACAAAGGATCCATGTTGCTCTCCCACATCGATGTTTCTCTCTCTCTCCCTCCCTTCCTCCCTCTCTAAAGTCAATTAAAAAAAAACAAGAGGTAAGTGTTGGTGAGGCGGGGGAGAAAAGGGGATCTCGTGCACTGTTGGTGGGAATGTAAGTTGGTGCGGCCATTACAGAAAACAGTAAGGGGGTCCTCAAAAAATTCAAAACAGAACCACCTTATGATCCAGCGATTGATTCCACTTTTGGGTATTTACCCAAAGGAGATGAAATCAGTATCTTAAAGAGACACCTGCACTCCCACGGTGATTGGCAGCATTATTCACAAGGCCAAGACATGGGGACGACCTAAATGTCCACTGACAAATGAATGGATAAAGACGTGAAATATAGGCCTTGCACAGTGGCAGTATTGTAACCATTGAGGTTTATCTGAGGTGTGATTATTGCTAATTGAGGGGAAAAAAAAAAAAAAGCCTTACCTGGCTTGGCTCAGTGGTTAGAACGTCAGCCTGTGGACTGAAGGATCCCGGGTTCGATTCCGGCCAAGGGCACATACTTTGGTTGCAGGCTGGATCCCTGGCCCTGGTTCAGGTGTGTGTGGGAGGCAACCAATTGACATGTCTCTTTCACATCAATATTTCTGTCCCTCTCTCACACACATACATACACACTTAGGGTGGGTAGGGTGCCTTCTCTGGGCCTCCACAGTGCCCTGAGCTTTATCTGTTATCATAGTACGTGACATCTTAGCTTATATCTGTGTGTCTTTCAACCAGAGCTGAGCCTACTTCGCTGCTCTCAGACCCTCTGTGGCTCCCTAGTGCCCCTGGGACAAATTCCCAGCCCCTGCTGATAGCTCAGTGAAACCCATTTCAGACGTCTGACCTCCAGAATTGTAAGACCCCACACTTGAGTTGTTTTAGTTAAGCTGCTAACTTTGTAGTAATTTGTTATAGCTGCAACAGGAAGCTTATACACCTCCACCCACTAGAACATCAGCTCCATGAGGTCAGGTTGTCTTCTTCCTGTCTCCCCAGCACCTAAAGCAGTGCCTCCCTCACAGTAGTCACTCAGTTGATGTTTGTTGATTGGATGGCTGCATGGACCAGGAGTTCCCACCCCCTGGGCTCACATGATTGGTCAAGAAGTGGACACTGACCCAGGCTGGCCAATTAGATTTCCTCTCCTGGAGATGCTGAGGATCAGCAGTGGTTGGCGCTGGTGGTATATCACCTGCTGCAGTTGGCTTCAGCTGGTGAAAGCATCAGAATGAATAGCAAGGGCGCTGAGACAGCCTGTGGAATCTCGGAGGGAGTTGTCAAACCACAGATGGGAACTAGAGCCTTCCAGGGACTTTCCTCAACTCTCACATGCCTGTCTCTCTCCTGTCCAAACACCCAGATCCTGGGACCCGTAATCTACCCGGCCCAGCCTTAGTGAGATACTGACAGGAAGGTGCCCTTTCTCATTTGCTCCAAGGCCAAGATCAACCTCTAACTAACAGGTAGCACTCACTAAGCACAGCCTGTGTACTCTTCACTGAGTCAACCCAATAGGCTGTAACTATCAGTCCTGTTTTACAGATAAGGAAACAGGCTCAGAGTGGCCAAGAAGCTTTCCCAAAGTCATATGGCTACAAAGATTTGAATGAAGCAGATAGGCAGGTATACAAGTCCTGCGAGATCACGTGACCCACAGAAAGCACCTGCATTCAGGTTCTCAGCACCTGGGTTCTCAGATATGTGTCTTGTCCTGTCTTCTCTAAGGAATCTCTGTAGCCTTCCAGAAAACTCCCTTTTATCCTAAGCTAGTGTGAGTAGGTTCTTTGCATCCAAAATAATTCTAAAACAGTGGTATGCTGGAGCGGCTCATGGGAGCTGTTAAAATTCAGGAATTCTGTCAGCCAGTTGTTCAATCACTTGGAACTTGGTGGAAGCATTTACACCACGGTAACTGGCACATGTTCCTCACCAGGCTCTTCATTCCCGAGAGCTCCTGTGTTTATTTTATACCAGCACACCACAGATTCCGAGAAATGCATAGGCAGAGAACGTCAAAGAATAGGAGCTGCCTGAAAAGACCAGGAGAAACAAGAGATCCTGCTGTCCTGGCCCAGGCTTCTCAGAGTCCCCTTTATCTGTTTCACAAACATTGTATTATACTGGAGCCAGCCCACTAGACTGCTGAATCACAGAACTAAAGTGACATCAATAAACCAAAAGTCACTGCTCATTCCCTCCCTCAGAAGCACAGTCAAGGTCACTCAGAATTTATTTGAGGGCACGAAAATCAAAGTAAGAAAAATGTTCCAGGCATTTGGAGTCTGTTGGGGGGTCCAACTCTTCTTCGTCCAAGATGGAGTGGGTGGCACTCAGGTGTCAGTCGCCCATGGGCAGCCACAGGGCCTTGGTCCGTGCTGCCCGAAGCTCTAGCTCTGAGCCTGCCCCTTCAGCCTCTTGATCCCAGGCCCGTGGGAAGCCCCTGTTCACCCACACAGGCTTCAGGTTTCCTGCTGAGGCCCATTCCACAAACTGGGAGCCCTGGCACAGAGACGGGGGGGTCAGAGTTTCCTCCAGCTTGTTTGATAAGCAGCTGCTTCCTTGGCAATGTACTGGAGGGGCCTGACAGTCTGACCTAGGCCCTGTTGCTATAAGCTCAGCTCCTGGCAAGCAAGCCTTGCAGATGCTGGGGAAACGGGGTTGACCTTTGTGGTGAGGGAACTTCCTCCCCGGTGGCAGCCCACGTTCATTTGGGGCCTGAGGTTTTCGTTGACAAGGAGTTTCCATCAGATTTAAAGAGGGTAAACTATGGGCTTCTAACTCTGTTGCTAGGGGACGGTCCTTAGCAATGGGCTGTCCAATAGGATTAGGTCTTCGGGCTGGGCAAGCTCTCAGGCCCCTGTTGCTAAGCACATTCTTTCTTAGCAACCAGGGCTCTACAGGGGCAGGCCCCCCTCAGAACCTGGTTGCCAAGGAGTTTCTCCCCCTTGGTAATAGGAGTTTTAAGGGGGCAGAGCCATGTTCCCAGAAAAGGAAGAGCCTATTGTGAAGTTTCAGACACAGAAGGTGGCAGGGTACCTGGGCAGATCCGAAGTACCACAGGGCCTGGACATCCTGGTGCAAGGCCAGGCAGCGGGTCAGGTGGTCCCGGTCTCCTGTCACCACGTTCACCAGGCCTACTGGCAACAAGGCGTCCATATCCTAGGGAATGGAGAGAGTGGGCCACCCAGGGTTGGGAGGGAAGGAGTCTGAGACGCCGAGGGCAGTGGGGAGGAGAGTGAGCATCTGGGGGAGTAGCATGGGGCTCCCAGAAGGAACGGGGCTGGGGTCGCGACTGGTGAAGGCTTGTGGTCTGAAGAACGTGGTCACTGGATCTAGAGGAGTGAAGGCTTGGGTTCCTGGACTGGGG